AATTTAACATTGTTCAGACACCTAGATAAAGGAGCATCTAGCTATGTAAGACCCCTAACTGTTCAGCTGTTCGCTTCAGAGCTGAGGTTTTAATTTTATTTAATTTTATGATGTTGGCAAAGAATATTGACTATGCCATTTATTTATTTATTTTGATGTTTTCATTTTTAATAAGGCATATTCTGTGTTTTAGAGCATGATCACAAGACATAAGTTAGTGACAGTGGGAAGAGCTCAGAATTTAGAATTAAGAGCACTGGTTTCAATTTGTCTCCACCTTACATTACTTAAACAATACATTTAACCTTGGTGGTGGAGTCCATTCTGTCTCATAGAGACCCCTGTACAGGGTTTCCGAGGCTGTCAATTGTTACGGGAGCATAACAGCTTGTAGTTTCAAACTGCTGACCTTGCTGTTCGCAGCCCGATTAGTAACGACTATGCTACCAGAGCTCCTTTATTTCCCTCGTCTGTAAACCCAATTACTGCCTATTTGATTGTTGTGGCCAAAATTAGATAATGCGAAAGGACTTCCTAAATTATACATAGATCAACATAAGTCAAATTGTTACTATTCTCTTCATGTTTTAGTGTAAGATAATGAAGGATTTTTTTTTTTCTAATGATTTTATTCTCTTCTCCACTGTGAGAAATAGCTGTTGGGGTGATCCATCTTCAGAATCAAGGATATCTTGGGGGTAGCAGGTTGGCATGACAAAAGGGAACTATGAGAAGAGACCAGTTTGACCTACTGTTGTTAAGTGCCCTTGAGTCAGTTCCGATCCATAGTGACCCTGAACAGGGTTTCCAAGGCTGTAAATCTTTATGGGAGCAGAAAGCCTCATCTTTCTCCCTGGGAGCAGCTGGTAGTTTCGAACTGCTGACTTTAAGGTTCGTAGCCCGATTGATTTGTAACTACTGTAACCACTAAGCTAGACTCTTTACATTAAGACTACGCCCATCGCCCATCGGGGACTTAGGGGAAGTTCATGGGGAGGGGGTGAAACTAACTTTAAATGCAAATGTTCCCAGGAGGGACGAGTAGGTGCCCCTTAGGGAAAGATTATAAACTCCAAAGTACCCAGTAAACGGGAAATGGAGGAGGGGCTTTTTCCAAGCTAGGTTAATAAAACTCTTTGTCAAATGGCCATGCAGGGCGTCTGCCCTTGTCTATGGGTCAGGGCGCCCATCCTCATTCTCGCTAAAATGAGTACAGATTGGATTACTTGAGTATTTGTCAGTATAGAGAATGCTTCTCACACCCTAACCCCACCCCCACATTTTAAAAGGTGAACAGACCTCGGTCATCCTTTAAGATACTTAAGGTACAGAACAGTCCTATTTGCCTACAGGTCTGTACTTTAGGAATATGACTTCAAAATGTCCGTAAGGAGTGTATTCCTAGGAAGAAGAAAAAAAAAAAAAAACCATGACTTCTACAAAACAAACCGAATAAAAAAGGAAATGAAATTCCATTGCTATGAACTCTCAAGCGCCACGCCTACGAACTGATCTCCAAACAGCAGCCTGCAGCCACGATTGCAACCCGCAGCCCATTTCTGATGAGTCAGCGGACACCATTTCTGGGAGGACTGAGGAGAGGCGCTCTGGCCGCACCAGACGCACGTCTGTGGTGCAAACCCTCTATCCGTGGCCAGGAGCTGAAGTCAGACTCTGTGGTCGTGGTTTGGAAATATGCGCGGGAAGTGGGAGGTGGGAGGTAAAACGGGAGTGGGTTGTCCCATCAAGCTGCCCAATCGAGGCGTGCTATTCTGTGTGCGCATGGCAGCCTCTTATTACCGTCCCACTTAACCGATTGCAGCCTCCTTGCAGCTTTTTTGAACTGTAAGTGGGTGGGGTGGCGGTGAGCTTTGGCCGAGACGCTTCTCTGGGAGCTTCACCAATTAGCGTGCGGCAGAGCAGTGAAGGACGGCCATAAGAGCCAATCAACGATTCTGCCCCCTTCCGGCGCAAGCACTCGCGCCACCAGGGTCGCGGCCGTTACTGCTGGCGCGCGCGGGGACTCTAAGTCGGTGAGTTCTGGGGGCCTCGCCCACGACTCCCTTCCTGGGGTGCCATTTTCCTTCCCCCTCCGGAGGCTGAGAGGGGCGTGCCTTGGAAGTGACTGGGCGGAGGCGACTCGGAAGATTCGGGGACTATACTATTCATCCGTACCTGACGTCCAAAAGAGTTTGGGTATGAAGACATTGAGAGACATTGGATATTTAGGGAACTTGCTTAGAGTGTGGATCAAAGATGGTGGCATATTAAATTAGAATCATGTCCCCTTGGGACCCACTGAGTAGGCCAGTGATGAGGACGGAGTTGACACTACCCAAGGGTCCTCCTACTTAACCATTAACAGTTTACTTCTAGGGTGGCATCCTTTTAAGTAAATTCTGCCCATGTGATTTTTAATTCCATCTCATTTGTAATTTCTTTAGTAAGCTACATTTTGTTTGGTTCAGAGATGTGGCCCACGTATTTTGAGACAACTAGGCTCTCCATAAAGGAGCTCTGGTAGCGTAGTGGTTACGAATCGGGCTGCGAACCGCAAGGTCAGCAGTTCGAAACTACCAGCTGTTCCACAGGAGAAAGATGAGGCTTTCTCCTCCCGTAAAGATTTACAGCCTCGGAAACCCTGTACAGGGTCGCTATGAGTCGGAACCGACTCCACGGCACATAACAACAAGGCTCACCATAAGGAACTCTGGTAGTGTAGTGATTACGAATCAGGCTGCAAACCGCAAGATCAGCAGTTCGAAACTACCAGCTGTTCCACAGGAGAAAGATGAGGCATTCTGCTCCCGTAAAGATTTACAGCCTCGGAAACCCTGTACAGTGTCGCTATGAGTCGGAACCGATTCCATGGCACACAACACACACACACAGGCTCTCCATAACTACTGTTGAATAAATATAATGGATCAAGGGGGTGTGTGACAGCCAAAAAGAATAGTAATGATTACAATCTGATGAGAAATAATAGGACAGGCATGAGTCCACTGACTATTGTGGTCACATCGCAGAAATAGTGGAAAGCTGGGAGGATTCCAGGTAAGAGTGCTGAGGAAATGACATTTGAACTGCTTCTTGAAGGATGGGTAGGAGTTGTACCAGGAAACTCATGCTGAGGCATGCAGTTGTGCAGGACAAGGAGGGCAGCGTTTTCAGAGGCTAAGGAGAAGGCCCATGTGACTGAGTTGTTAATTATTGTGTACATAACTATCCTGTATAGTTTTTCTGAGGAGTGGTTGATGAGCTTGAACCACTGACTGTGCAATTCACACTGACCTTGCAGTCCAGCGCATTAACATACACTTAAAATTAACTGGGGGAGAGAGGCATTGCAGGACATGAGGTTCATATGTTGAAGGGTCTTGCTAAGGAGTTAGATTTTATCATGTAGGCATGAAAAACCAGCAAAGGATATTAAACAGGAGAAACATCTAGGTGACCTTGGGCAAGTTCCTTACTTATTCTTGTGTGTCAGTTTATAGGAAAAATGGAAAGATAATACTTTACAGGGTTCTTCAATCAAATCAGCCAATGAATGCAAAGTAGTAAGAACAGTGTTTGGCACGTTGTTGTTGTGAATTGCCGTTGAGTCGACTCCAACCCATAGCAACCCTGTATAGGGTTTTTGAGGAGCAGCTAGTGAGCTTGAACCGCCGACCTTGCAGTTCAAACGGCTTTGAAGTCTGGTGCATTAACCCACAGCGCCACACCAGGGCTCCTTGGCACATATTATATATATTCTGGGAAGCTCAAAAATTTCATGGAAAAATTTTGTTATCTTTTTACTCAATTTTTCCACAAACTTTTTGAAGCCCTCTTGTGTATCAATTGTTTTTTATGATTCTTTGCAAATTTAGTCTGATCACAGTGAGGTGAATGGTAAAGTGTAAAAGTATGGGCCTAACAGCCAGAAGTATATATAGTACTAGCCTTTCTACTGACTGCGGTGTCATATTGAGCAGATTTTTGAAGTATTTTTGTCATTAGTTTCCTAACTGCATACCTCATATGCATGTATATACCTTATATGACACATAACACAATGCCAATACAAAGTTGGTGTTTGTTAAAAGCTTGTTGTTGTTATTGTTAAGTGCCATCAAATCGCTTCTGAGTCATAGCAACCCTGTATAGGATTTCCAAAGAGCTGCTGGTAGGTTTGAACCACTAGCCTTGCAGTTAATAGTCCAGTGCTTATCCTACAGTGCCATACCAGTTCCTTTTACAATGGTATTTTTCAAACAGTTAGGTTGGAACCCAATAATGGATGTTGTTACTGTTAAGTGCTCGTCCAATCAGTTCTTACTCATAGCAACCCTGTATGGGTTTCCAAGGCTATAAATCTTTGCAGAAGCAGAAAGCCTCACCTTTCTTCCAAAGAGCAGCTGGTGGGCTAGAACCACGAACCTTGTGGTTAGCACTTCAGTGCTTATGCTACACAACCACTGTGCTCCTAGTAATTTAATTGATGCTGAAATTAATTCCGTGGGTTGCAAGTCAACATTTATATATTTATTCTTGTTGTTGTTGTTAAGTGCCGTTGAGTCAGTTCCAACTTATAGCAACGCTGTATAAGGTTTCCGAAGAGTGGCTAGTGAGTTTGACCCACCATCTTTGTGGTTAAAATGACCTTGCAGGCCAGTACTTATCCTACAGTGCCATACCAGGACTATATGTGTGTGTGTATCAGATAGAAAAAAAAAAAAAAAACCGCAAAACATGAAAATTATCATAGTACATAGTAAGGTTAAGCACTGTTTCTCAGAACTCTTGTGTATATGAAGTTCATATACTCATATACTAAGGATCGCATCACATTTCTTACTCAATATTTGACAAACACTTCATTCAGAAGGATAACAGAATGATTGGCGGAGAAAGTCATCCCCTTCCCTAACCGTCTAGCTTTACCCCCAGTTATCTGTCTCTGCTCTGATGCTATGTCTGTGAACTGATGAGGATGATGTGTTCCCTTCCAGACCATGGAGGACACCCAGATTATTGACTGGGACATTGAAGAAGAGGAGGAGACAGAGAGAGTCAACGAATTCGTGGGGTACAACTTGGAGCCCCTAGGGCAACTGCGTGTCTTCAGCGGTACACATGGACCAGAAAAAGGTCAGAGAGAATACTCAGTGCTGAAGTATCAGCATTGCTGTAGACCCTAAAGGACAGAGGAGAACTGCCCTGGAAGGTTTCCTAGGCAGGAATCTTGCCAGAGCAGATCACCAGGTCTTTTCTCTCACAGAGCTCCTGATGGGGTTGAACCACCGACATTTTAACTCGCAGTCAAGCACTTAGGATCCTTCGTATTAGTCTTTTATTTTTGTTGGGAGGTTTTGGAGGGTGACGAGAGGAGTCCCCAAACTACTTTTTAGCAGAGAAGGAGATAGGGAGTTCTTGGAATGGGGTCAGGGGAACATGGTTGCTGTTTACATATGGTAGCCAGAGAAATTAGTCTAATAAACATGACAGCTGAGCAGAGGTCTGCAGCTATTTAGGGATTGCACAGCAAGTCCAAAGGCCCTGTGGTGGTAGCTTGTTGGACCTGCTCACAGAATTGCCAGGAGGCCAGTGTGGCTGATGAGAAAGGTGCAAGCAGGGCCCACTGTGAGGACAAGAGCTTGTAATCCAATGTTCCCAAATTCTCATGGAACCCAGATTTCTTGGAGCCATTGAGGCTGGATAAACCCTTAAAACTATTGTCCTGAGATCATCTTTAAACCTGAAGCCAAAAATATCCCCTGAAATCTTAAAACTTCTCAATAAAGAATGTCCGCCTCAAGTATTATCCTCTTTTAAAGAATTACTAAGGGATCGAATTGACAACAGCAACTCAAAAACTGGGATAGGACCCTTAGCAGACAGTATATTTATGTTGATAGAGGAAAGGAGAACGAGACTGGCTATACAACTTGAAGAATGTCATCAGTTGTCACGGAATTACATGTAGAAATTGGTGTCTGGCTATATTTACTCTCAACAATGAAAAACTAAGTTTCATAACTTTAATAATAATTCAATAAATAAAAATATATTTTAAAAATAAAAAGCGTTTTACTGGGAATTGAGAAGTAGGACCTGCTTGAGTTGAGTATATCAGTCTAGTGACCTGTACACTGGGGTGATTTTACTTTGGTGGGAGAAGATGAAGAGATTCAAAGCCCTGTGTAATACATGGTCATTGTGTTACATGGGTATTGAGTATCAACAATGCATTGCATGTATTCTAAGGACAAACAGGCCAGGACTCAGGCCTTGGAACCTCTCTCTCCCTCTCTCTTATTAGATTTCCCGCTCTACCTTGGGGAGAATGTGGTAGGCCGAATGCCCAACTGCTCTGTGACCCTGCCCTTTCCATCCATCTCCAAGCAACATGCAGTGATTGAGGTCTTGGCCTGGAACAAGGCACCTATTCTCCGGGACTGTGGGAGCCTCAATGGTACTCAAACCCTGAGACCTCCTAAAGTCCTGAGCCCTGGGATGACTCATCGTCTCAGGGACCAGGAGTTGATTCTCTTTGCTGACTTGCCCTGCCAGTATCATCGCCTGGATGTCTCCTTGCCTTTAGCCTCCCGGGGCCCTCTAACTATAGAGGAGACACCCAGAGTTCAGGGAGGAACGCGAGCCCAGGGACTTTTGCTGGCTGAGGACTCAGAGGAGGAAGTGGGTAAGTTTGTGGTGTTAGTGGGGTAGGTGAAGAGATGGAGGCAAGGAGTGTAAGATTGCCTACTTACTGCTTTCTACTCTTGACAGATTGTCTTTCGGAAAGATGTGTGGTGAAAGCTTCAAGAATCATGTCCACCCCTAGAGCAACAGTGGTCCCGGAGAGGTGAGTGCTGAAGGAAGTCTTAAGAGGAGGAACCCAGAGCTGGAGGATTGAGTTTCTTTACAGAGATTATTATCATGAAAGTTGGGGCTGGGGAACTATTAATTCACTCTGCAGAATCTGTATTGCACGCCTCTGATGTGCCCAGTGGAGTAACAATAACACTGCTGGAGATGAGGAACAAATACTACCGGGGTATCCCTTCTGGGGAATTACACTAGAATTTTCATCTTTTCTTCCCTTTGCAGTGACGAAGAGGGGGCTTCCTCGGCCCCAGATGGCCCTGGGGTATCCTTTGCTTTCAATTTAGACAGTGACACAGATGACGAAGGTCAGCAGCCAGCATCAAGGAAGGCCTCCTCCTCAGCTTCCAGAAGAGGCGCCCCTGCAAAAGCAAAGCGGCCTGGCACTGATGGAGTTGCAATTGAGCTCCGGCTTAAAAAGGATCAGCCTTCAGCAAAGAGGAGGGACAGTGACACAAAGGTTGAAAGGGGTCCCAACAAAGTGGTGGGTCCAATCAGAGTGATTCCACAGAGAAGTCACCCTGTTAGGGAGGACAGTGACACAGATGTAGATGAAAGGGGCCAGCCTTCCACCTTCATGGACAGTGATACCGATATGGAAGAAGAGGAGATCCCGGCAACCCCAGCTATAGTTCCAATGAAGAAGAATCAAATCCTCCACAGAGTTGGTAGGCAGGGCCCTGGGATGCCTGCCTTGGCATGTCTACAAAAGAGCCGGGCTGGTGCTGATGCAGTGGTGGAGCAGGGTGAGGCCCCACTGGCTGTCCATGTGGAGAGAAACCCACTGTTCATGGTGCTCAACAGTGATACAGATGATGAGGAAGAAGTCTCAGCAGCACTCACCTTGGCCTGTCTGAAAGAGAGCCGCACTAGGAGAAACCACAGAGTTATAGATGTGGAAGAGGGCAGTGACACAGATGCGGAAGAGGAGAGACACCCAGTGGGAAAGAGTCAAACTATTCCCAAAGTTGACACAGACAAGGAGAGAACCCTTGTTACTACATGTTCAGGAAAGAGCCAGCCTCCTCAGAGGGCTGGCTATACAGATGCAAAGGAAGAAAAGGGCTCATCTGGGGCCTCCCTGGGAAGAAGGCAAGCCTCCACCACAGTGGACAGCAACACAGAAACTGAGGAGGAAATCCCATTACAGCCAGCTGTTACACATCTGGAGAAGCATCAGGTACCTGTGGAGATAAACCAAACAGTTATGGAAGCAGAAGGGAGCCTCACAAAGCTGCCTGTGGGGCACCAAGAGAAAGCCCAGGACTGTGAAACAGATGAGGAGGAGAGCCTGGCCTTCAGGGCCTCAGCATTGGCAGTTGTAAGAAAGAGCCAGCTTCCAGCAGAAGGGAATCCTAGGGTGGAGTGGGCTACAGCTGTTCTCAAGTGGGAGAGAGCCCTTGAAGCAGGGGCCCAGGGTGGGTCACCTGTGGTACAAGTGGAGCAGGACCTTCTCCCTGTCTCAAGGAAGAACCTAACAGATCTGGTAGTGGACATAGGCACTCCAGGCACCCAGCGACATAGAGAGCGAGTCCAGACCCCCACAGAAAGACAGCAAGCACCGCATGTAGACAGAACCAAGGACTCTAAAGACAGAAATGATGGTAAGTGCTGGCCTTTTTCTTTCACTTGACCCCTAAAATAAAGAATGGTTGTAGAGGCTGAGTTTGGGAAAAGAAGAGAAGAGATAAAGTAAGGAGTTCAGAATCAGATAATGGTTTTCTATTGTCTCTCCTATATTCCTACTCACTAGATTCTGAAGATCTAGACCTGCAAGCTACCCAGTGCTTTGTGGAGAAAGAGAACACAAGCCTTGAAGGTAAGGGTATCTGTGTTGGCTCAGTCCTATTGGTTGTAGGAACTGGGAGACTAGACTACTAGTGGCTTTTGAAGGGTGTGAAGGCTGGAGTACGCAGGGCTGGAGTCTGGTATTGGGTCTTCTGAAGGAGCTGTGTGTAGGCTATCTTTTTCTTATGCAGCAACCAAGAGCATGGAGGAAGTATCCACTCAGGCCTTCCCGTTTACTCCACCTCGAGAAGAACCTGGCCCTTCCCGTTGCAGCTTCCAGACCCCAGGTACAGGAACTCACCTCTACTCTGTGCTCCCAACTGGGCATTCATTCTTGTTTTCTTTCTGTGCATATTTCTTTCACATTCTTTATTCAATCTTTCTCCATTTTATCAGGGAAAAAAATGCCATATTGAGTCAGACCCGTAGACCAACGTGTTGTAACGTGCTGTCAACTTTGTTCCGACTCAAAGCAACTCTGTATAGGTTTCCAAGGAGCATCTGGTGTGTTTGAGCTGCCAAAGTCCAGTCTGATACTACAGCACCACACCAGGAGTCCATAGACCCAACTAGTCTAGCATCTTTTAAAGGGCTACTAAGGGAGCCAGAGTGCTCCTTGGAGGCCAGGATGGCCAAACTTCGTCTCTCATATTTCAGACATATTGTCAAAAGGGATCAGTCGCTGAAGAAGGGTATCATGTTTAGTAAGGTGGAGGGTCAGAGATAAAAAAGAAGACCCCCAGCAAGATGGATTGGACAAGTGGCAGCATTAGTGGGCTCAAACGTGGCAACAATAGTGAGGTTGGCCCAGGATCAGGCAGTGTTTCGTTCTGCTGTTCATAAGGTCGCTATGAGTCAGTACCAACTCGATGGCACGTAACAACAACAAGGGAGCCCTTGTGTGGCACTGCAGGATAAGCACTGGACTACAAGGTTGGTTTGAATTACAAGGTTGACAGTTCAAACTCATCGGCCGCCCCTCAGAAACCCTATATAGTGTCGCTATGAGTCGGAATTGACTCAAAGACAGTTAACAAGAGGGAGCTTTAAGGAGTTCTGGGAAAGCAGTGGGTTAAATATCAGACTGCTAATTGTAAGATTGGCAGTTCAAACCCACCAGCACTCTGTGGAAGAAAGATGAGGCTGTGTGCCCCTATAAAGATTTTCAGTCTCAGAAACCCTAAATAGCAGTTCTACTCTGTCCTGCAGGTTCACTGTGAGTCAGAACCAACTCTATGGCAGTGAATTTGGAAGAGAACTTTTATATGATGATATTGTCTTACCTTTTTTGAGACAAAAAAATGATAAATTGTCACCATTATTCCTTTCTTTTAGTTACCCATTTAGATTTATCATTCCAGAATTTACCTTAATCTTTCCTCAGAGTGTTATCTTTTTTGTCTACATTTTTACCTCATTTTCTCTTTTTCTCTCTTGTGTGTGACAATTTCCAGGTACTCTGGATGAACCTTGGGAGGTCTTGGCTACACAGCCATTCTGTCCAAGAGAGTCAGAGGCCTCTGAGACCCAGCACATTGCTGCCCATCTTGAGGCCCATGGAACTTGTCCCTCTCCACCCAGGGCAACTTTACAAAACCAACATCCAGAGAGTCCAATTCATACAGAGTCATCAGGGATGCAGGCTGAGGAGAAAGGCCTGGAAAGAGAGATACCAGGAAGGGTGACCCCTGAGAAAGAGCCCTTAGAGAGGGAAACCAAGGAGCTGCCAACAGCAGCAGAGAGAGAAGATGGGATCGGAGAAGAAGAATTAACCAGGGGGCTGCAGAACAGGGAACAAAAACCGGTGTTAGCTAGAGAACCTCAGAGCCTAGAATCTGATACAAAGCTGAAAAGTGTAAATACCGAAAGGGATATGAAGAGCTTGGAGGTAGAATTGGAGACATCCAAGGAAATACAAAAGAAAGAAATAGAGAAGCAGGCCCTTGTAAGAGAAATCTGTGACGGAGAAACAGAGGGACCCGCACCAGAGAGAGCGAGTGAACTAGCAGGGTTAGAAGTGAAAGTATCCAAAGAGATGTTTGAGGACGCAGGCACACAGAAAAGGGAGAACAAGGGTGGGAGCCAGGACCAGGAAGAGCAGACCTCCCTTTCAACACCAGAGCCTAGAATGGGGGCGGGAGCTCTTCAAGGACTGGATTCCGCCCCAGTAGCTTCTGGCAGCCAGGCAGGTAGAGGAAGGGTAACCCCAATGAACCCCAGAAGGCAGCAGAGAGGTAAGTAAGGGCACAGGGACCCCAAGGTGATACACAGCCCCCATTGATAATAAAACCCTAAGCAACTGACTGCTTAGAACTAAGCTATTCTTGTCTTTGCTTTCTGTCTAGGCGGCTTGAATTGCAAGATGCCATCTACTGGGAAGGCTTCCAGGGTAAGACCTGCTTTCATCACCTACCCCCACCTTACAAGTTAACCTCTACATCTCCTCCATTGCCCCATCCCCTAATCTTGATTTAGTCACTCCCTGTACTTCTTATATTCTTAATTTTCTTCCATGTTCACCAGTCCTTAGTTAATTTCTGGAGTCCCTGGGTGGCTCAAACCATTAAGTACTCAACTGTTAACCTTAAAGTTGGCAGTTAAAACTTACCTACAGCTACCTCAGAAGATAGGCCTCGTTAGCTACTTCTAAAAGATCACAGCCTTGAAAACCCAATGGAGCAATTCTCTGCACACAGGGGGTCTCCATGAGTCAGAATCAACTCAGTTGACAGGTGTTTTGATTTTTTTGGTTTAGCTGGTTTCTATCGCTTTACTTGGACTTCTAACCACAAGGTTGGCAGTTCAAATCCACCAGCTGCACCACAGGAGAAAGATGAGGCTTTCTGCTGCCAGAAAAATGTACAGCCTCTGCGACATCACCTAAAAACAACATCCCTTTACTGACACCCGTTGTTTTCTATGATATCTCCCTCTACCTGACAATGAAAACCATTTTCCTCTTGTTACTGTTTCCCTCAGGAAGTGCCCAGTCTAATGGGAGAGGTTATAGAAAGAGAAATGTCAGCAAGCACACTTTAATCATAATCATAGTATCCAATTTTCTTTTCTCTCTACCTCTTCTTTTCTCACTTGCTTCTATTTTCTCCCCAGGGTGATCAGGAATCCCCAGATGCTTTGCTGCCTCCATCAATGAGGGAAGCCTCAACCACACTCCAGAAACCCCTTATTGCTCAGAACCAAAAACATCCTGCCCCTCGGCCCTTACTTTCCCCGTCTCTGCCTTCTTTAGAGGTGCCTATTCCCAGAACCAGGCAGAAAGGAGGGAGCTCAAGAGCTCTAGAGGCTCCTTCGTCCTCAGCGCTGGAGCCTCACTACACACAATCTAAAGTCAGACCCCGAAGAGTCTCTCTGGTGACACCCTCTTCAGTTTCCTCTATTGCCCTTGAGTCCTACCCTCCCAACTCCACAGACCAAACTGTCACCCCCAATCCCACATCTCATGTTACTCAAGGCAGGACACGTAGGACCTCTGTCAGAACACCTGAACCAGTTGAGCCCATGACCCCTGAACTCCAGCCTTCCACTTTAACAGACCCGCCTGTTGTTACACCCAAGCCCACATCTCGGGCCACTCGAGGCAGGACACATAGGTCCTCTGTCAGGACCACTGAATCAGTGGAGCCCACAGCCACTGAGCTCCAGCCTTCCACTTCAATAGACCAGGCTGTCACTCCTAAGCCCACATCTCGGGCCACTCGGGGCAGGACACATAGGTCCTCTGTCAAAACTCCTGAACCAGTAGAACCCACAGCTTCTGAGATTCAACCTTCCACCTCCACAGATCAGCCTGTCACCCCTGAGGCCACATCTCAGGCCACTCGGGGCAGAATACGTAGGTCTGCTGTCAGGACTCAGGAACCTATTGAACCTATAGCCCCTGAGCTCCAGTCTTCCACCTCCACAGACCAGCCTGCCCCCTGCAAGCCCACTCGGGACAAAACACATAGGTCTTCTATCAAGACCCCTGAGTCAGTTACACCCACGGCCCCTGAGCTCCAGCCTTCCACTGACATACACACATCTCGTACTACTCAAGGCAGGACAAGTAGGTCTTCTCTCAGGATCCCTGAACCAGTTGAACATGAACCCACATGCCCTGATCCTAAGTCTCCTACCCTTATACATCAAACTGTCAACTCTGAGCCCATATTACGGGCCACTCAAGGCAGAATACACAGATCATCTGTCAAGACTCCTAAACCAGTTGAACACACAGCCTTTGAACTCCAGCCTTCCACCTCCACAGACCAGTCTTCTACTTCCACAGACCAGTTTGTCATCCCTAAGCCCACATCTCAGGCCACTCAGGGCAGGACACGCAGGTCCTCTGTCAAGGTCCCTCTGTCTCCTGAACTTGAACCTCTCAACCCCACAGATCAGCCCAAGCCCATATTACGGACCACTCGAGGCAGGACACCTAGGTCTTCTGCCAAGACCCCTGAACCAGTTAAGCCCACAGCCCCTGATAATGCGCCTCCCATCACCACAGACCAACATGTCACCCCTGAGCCCATAGCTCAGTGTGATCACAGAAAGACCGTAAAGTCTTCCACAGTGAATGCTGTACAAACTCCTACAACCCTTGAATTCCAGTGTCCTGCCCCTACAGACCAGCTTATTCCTTCTGAGCCCATCTCTCAAGCCAGATGCAACAGGAGACAGAGGACCACTAGGAAGCAAGAGTCCCTCACAGCTCCCATTATCCATGAACCCTGCTCCACACTCCCTGAACGTAAATCCCAGTCCTCAAGGAGCCAAAGACAAGGAGCAGTGAGAGCAGCTGAGTCCCTTAAGGCTGTTCCTGAGCCTTCTTGTTCACAGCTTCTAGAGGCACCCAGTCAGGCTCCCCAGATCCAAACCCTGGAGGCAGCAAGTAGATCTGGGTTTACCCCAGAGCCCCAGCCTAAGCCCTCTCAAAGCCGCAAAAGGACTTCAACCACCAAGGATTCACCTCCACCTAAAAAACAGCCCCAAAGAGAAGAAGTGCCCCAGAAGATAGAGTTCCTTAAGGAAGAACAAGAAGATACTGCAGAGAAGCCAGGAAAGAAAGAGGTAAGGAGAGGGCTAGGACTACAGAGCTAAGTAGAGAAGGGCTTGAAGACTCAGAAAATTCCACTAAGATCTTTCTTGATCCCAGAATGTAGTGATTCCAGGACCAGGCAAAAGAAAGAGAGACCAGACAGAGGAGCCCAAGGAAACACAGAGTCGAAATCTCCGCCGATCCAAACCTAACCAAGAGTTAACAGTCCCCAAAGTAAGAAGGGGCATGGGGTTTGGTGGGAGACAAAAGATGTGGGGGTGGGGCCACTTGGGGCCTAGGGAATTCTAGAACCAGGCACTGCTGTCCCAGCTTCCTGTGATCAGCTCAACCTAACCCCCTCTGCAGGTCCTCTTCACAGGAATAGTGGATGCCCGTGGAGAGCGGGCTGTGCTGGCTCTGGGCGGAAGTCTGGCCAACTCAGTAACAGAAGCTTCACATTTGGTCACTGATCGAATTCGCCGGACTGTCAAGTTCCTGTGTGCCCTGGGCCGGGGGATCCCAATTGTCTCCTTGGACTGGCTGCACCAGGTGAGAGACCAGGAGGCAGTAACAGTACAACAAGGATGGTGGTAGGATAAAACTGCTCACACAGCACTCTAGAAAGCAGTAGTGGAAGAAGGAGCGGGTACGGGAAGACAGGGAGATAGTGAAACAGAAATCATTCAAAAGATGTTTCACAAGCTCCCTACAAATGCTAGGCAGAGGGCTGATCTAGACTTTGATGCTGACTGCCATTTTCATTAGTCCCGAAGGGCTGGTTGCTTCTTGCCCCCGGATGAGTATGTGGTGACTGATCCTGAACACGAGAAAAACTTTGGCTTCAGCCTTCGGGAGTCTCTGAGCCGGGCACAGAAGCGAAAGCTGCTGGAGGTGAGAGGCTCTTTTCTGCCCCAAGCTTAGCCCTCCCTGCAGAGGTTTTCCCTAAGGTCCATGCCTTCTCAGGCATATATCTATTGTCTCCAGTATTTTCCTCTCCTAGGGCTATGAGATTCATGTGACCCCTGGAGTCCAGCCACCGCCACCTCAGATGGGAGAGATCATCAACTGCTGTGGTGGCACTGTCCTGCCCAATATGCCCCGGTCCTATAAGGTATGGATAGTATATTTTGAGTCCCCTATTTTAGTTTCATTCAGTGTCTTTGCTGAGGTATTTCAAATCAGCAAAAAAACAAACCAAGCTCACGGCCATCTAGTCAATCTTGACTCATAGTGACCCTTTAGTACAGAGTAGAAATGCACCATGGGGCTTCCAAGGCTGTAATTCTTTATGGAAGTAGACTGCCTCCTCTTTCTTCCACTGAGCAGCTAGTACTTTCTTTTCTTTTTAAAGTTTTTATGTGAATTGAGTGAAAGTTTACCGGGCAGATCATCTGTTTCACATTCAACAAATCACAACTTGTTTCATCACAATGATTATAATCTCCATGTACAAGTTTCTTTAAAACACTCAGGCATATATAATAATTTACACCACCAAAGGGCACATTCGGCAAGTCAGCCTCCTGGCCACTATCTCTTAGTCCCTCTCTTCCCATGAATCTAGAATCCTCAGCTGCTCCCTCTCTCCATGTCCCCATCTCTGCCTCCATCTCTCACTTCACTGCTTCTCTGGATAAGTTCCCGCATTCCACTTGTGCTCTTCTCCCTTGATGGTCTTAGGGTCCTTTGTTTCTGGACTGTAAGATTAACTGCTCCCCCATTTTTGGTATAAAACTTCTACCTTTACAATTTTGACAGTCACAATTAGTCATGATAACAATTACTCACTATTGAATCTTAAGAATCTTCTCCCCATCTCTTTTAACCAGACCCATCTAGACAAGATGAAAATATTCAGTGGGGACTCTTTCTTCCTCCACACACTCTTAAACTAAACTCCCTCTTTAAACCTTGTAAGCCAGTCACTTCGTGCCTTTATCGCCCCCTCATTTTAGGTAGCCACTGTCTAAGTTGCCTGTCCCTATCTACCCTGTATACAGAGGGGATAGCATTGATACTTGATGTGAAGACTCTTCTCTCTGTTGGTATTTAGAGCTACTACCTCCATGAGTAGTAGTAGCTACTCTTTGGACATATTGTCCGGAGGAAACAATCGTTGGAGAAGAATGTTATGCTGGGTAAGGTGGAGGGTCAGAGAAAAAGAGGAAGACCTCTAACGAGATGGATTGGCCAGGTGGCATCAGTAGTGAGGTTCACCCAGGATCGGACATTGTTTCGTTCTGCTGTGCATGGGGTCGCTATGAGTCGGTTCTGACTCGATGGCACCTTACAACAACAACAACCTCTATGAGTATAGGTCAAGTTCATCAAATTGCAGCAATTTATCTTCATTTCCTTTATCAAAAATTGTGTTTTTTCATTTAAAAAAAATACTACCTTTACAGTTGCGACAACTGCAATTAGTCATGATAGCAATTACTCACTATTGAATTGACCTATCTAACTTTGACTGGCTCTACAGGGCAGTCCTGACAGAGGTACTGCTCACTGTATTTCTCACACCTGTCCAATCTACTCCTGCAGGTGAAGAGTGTTGGAAGCTTACCATATGCTTCTTACAAATTAATCTCTATGACTTTGCCTCTAAGCTGAGAATTGTCCCCTGGCCTTGACCCTTACAGGCTTTGCTTGGTTAACTAGACTGAGCAGTAGCCACTCAGTCTGAAAATAACTGGATTTTTGGACCATGATCCTAACTGGACTGAGTCTTGATCATACATTAATCATTGATATATGGGTGAGATATATTATAGCAAATATATTTTATGGATTTCTGGATTTATTTCATTGTAAAATAAGACCCTTCTCTCATAGTACATAAGTATCATGGGGATTTTCTTTTTATATTCTTACTGTTTATTAACTATATAACTTTTCACTTGACTTTTTCACAGTACCTTGGTGTTAATATATTTTAAAAATGGAGATATTGATGGTCTTATAGATCTGTTGGGAAAATGAAATGAGCTATCCATATAAAACAAGTAGAACAGTGTCTTGGAATAGGGAGGAGTGGAAGAGTTAAAGTGAACTGAGATAAAGATTGCTAGCTGATGGTACATGGAAGAGATTACATTGTAATGACATGATTGGTTGAATGTGGGACTGATGATCTGTTCTGTAAACTTTCACTCAATTCACAATAGAAAGTTAAAAAAATAAATTTAGTGTTTTTTTGTTTTTTTTTTATCTTCCTCTAGTCGATTTCTGATTATTAAGCCATCGAGGCTAGATCAAATGGGTACTATCTGCAAGTTTGGGTGTTCTTGTGCATCTCCCTCACTTCATATCAGCTGGATGCTTCACTGTCAGCTCTAGCCCTCTGTGGCTATGTCCTTGTCCATGGGCTCAGGTGTCCCCAGGTCTCAACACACTTTGGACCAACCAGCCCTTCCTTTTCTCACATCTCCAGGTCAACAGGAGTCTATGGAACACGGTTGAACTCAGCCCATTTCTTCATTATTGCCTTTCCCCCTCTTCTACTCACCAGTAGACCAATGTGGTCTCCAGCAAGCATACATGCCTGCTCATGTGTTCCCTTTGAGTTTCAGTCTTAGAGGGGGGTTTGTCCTGAAGGGAATTGATTGCTTGCTTTGATGGCTTCCCGGCAAACAACTTGCTTATTCTTATAGTAGCCAGTCATACTGACATTTTTCTTTTGGGGTTTTCCTGATGATCTTTCTTTGAAGATGTATCTTCTGTCACACTACCTATTCCAGGCTGGTCTGCTTGTCCTTTCTAGTGGGAATGTCCCACCTCAAAAGGTTCTAGATGGGGCTCAGGACCCTACCTAAGCTCCTATACACTGCAAAGCCTCTGCAAGAGGTCTATTTCACTGGGAAAGTTGTAGAATCCCTTTTAGGTATTCCAGTCAGTTATAGGCTGAAGACGGGCTTATAAGCTTTCTGTAATCATGTTTTCTGACGCTCCTTTCAATCTCACTCAAGTGTCTATTTTACAATAATAGGCAAGGGAAACCAATATTCATAAGACAGTCAACCTTTTTATAAAGATGGCACTAACAGTGAAGAAGGAAGCCCCTGCCCCTCCCAAAGCTGAAGCCAAAGCAAAGGCACTAAAGGCCAAGAAGGACGTGCTGAGAGGCGTCCACAGCCACAAAAAAAGAAGATCCACACGTCACCCACCTTCTGGCGGCCCAAGACTCTGAGGCTCTGAAGGCAGCCCAAATATCCTCAGAAGAGCACCCCCAGGAGAAACCAGCTTGACCACTATGCCATCATTAAGTTCCCTGACTACTGAGTCAGCCATGAAGAGGAATGAAGATAACACACTTGTGTTCATTGTGAATGTCAAGGCCAACAAGCACCAGATCCAACAGGCTGTGAAAAAGCTCTATGATATTGACGTAGCCAAGGTCACCACCTTGATCAGGCCTGATGAAGAAAAGAAGGCATATGTTCCACTGGCTCCTGACTATGATGCTTTGGATGTTGCCAACAAAATTGGGATCATCTAAACTGAGTCCAGCTGGTTAATTCTAAATATAAATTAAAAAAAAAAAAATAGTGAAGCATCTTAGCATTATTTCCCCTTCCAGACCACACCTCGATCCCTGTAGCAACTAGTACTTTCATTTAGCAGCCCAACACTTAACCCACTGAGTCACCATGGCCCCTATTTTAAAGCACACACCAAATTATTCCATATTACATATTTACCCATTAAGTCCTGGTGGCACAGTAGTTACGTGCTTGGCTGCTAACCAAAATCTTGGTGGTTTGGACCTACCCAGTAGTCTGTAGGAAAAAGACCTGGTGAGTTGCTCCTATAGAGACTACAGCCTAGAGAACCCTATAGGGCATTTCTACTCTGTCCCATGGGGTCACTATGAGTTGGAATCAACTAACAATAACACACTTAAGTGAAAGTCTTCTAAACTGTATACTTGTTCTTATATAATCAAATGCCAGTATTGATCCCTAACAAAATGATTAGTAGTTAATTGATCATTTCATCTCCTAGTCATTTCATTAATCAAATTTCTAGTAGTCTGTAAAAGAAATGTCTTTTCATAGTTTAAAACAGGAGCCATAATTTTTGTGTATTCTTAATTGTTATATCTCTTAATTCTCTTTTATGCTATTGCCCCCACCCCCTCACCCTTTTTTATGCCATTGACTTCCTGCAAAAACTAGAGAGATCAGTTGTGCTTTAGTATATTCCATATTCTAGATTGTTTGCTCCTTTGTTATACCATTTATCTTGTTCCTCTAGCTTCTGTATTCCTGTAAATTATACTTAACTTGAAAAACATGAATAAATTCAGCTTCAGAGTTTGGGGCAAGTATACTTTATAGTGCAGTGTGCTTCATGTGCTTCCATCTCAGGAGGTGTATTATATTAGCAGTTCTAAGACTGATTAGTGGTTCCTGAACATATATCTCATACCTTACTTCCTGTCTGCTCTGTCTCTTCAGCCTCAGAGAGTTGTGATCACTTGCTCCCAGGATTTCCCTCGATGTTCCATTCCCTGTCGGATTGGATTACCCCTCCTCTCACCGGAGTTCCTACTAACAGGAGTGCTGAAGCAGGAAGCCAGCCCAGAGGCCTTCATTCTCTCCACTTCGGAAATGTCATCCACATGAAAATCCCAGTGCCCTTTTCCCTCCCTAACCTGTAAATAAAGTGTTAGAAAATGTTGGGAAGAAAGAACCCAAGCTTTAGAAATGATTGGGGTACACTGATATGAATTGGGATTGAAAAGGCTTAGGGATAGACAGAAATATAGGGAGATTGGGAACCACAAATTTCCTACTAAAGTGACCATTTAATCCTTAGCATTGCTCCTTGATATACACATGGAAAACCATATCACTTCTTTTCTTACTGGATGAGTAATTCCAAGAAAGTGCAAATTTGTGGGTAGAGTTTTAGAATGGTACTAAAATATTTTCTTTTCTCCTGGCCATCCTAATTAGAAATGTCCTTTATTTTTTACTTTGAGCAACTCTGTACTTTTCTGACTACATTTCTATTATTTGTAAAATAAGAGCTAAAGCTTGACCTCTGTGATAAATAAATATTCACTCTGTGCCTTATGGTGTGAAATTTTTCTTTAATGCCTGGTTCTCAAGAGACAAATGTTTTTAATATATAGTTGTAAACTTGTATTCAATTATTATCTTCTATTTAGGGAAAATTATATGAAGTTTCTTAAATTTTAAGTCGGTTGATTTTGAGGATGTGTAGAAATTGGAACCCTCAGACAGTGCTAATGGTTTCAGCCGCCATCTGGGGGCTCATCAAAAAGTTGAACACAGAATTAATTACCCATCAATTCTACTCTTAAATATATACTCAAAAGATCTGAAAGCCATGCTCAAACAAATACTTGAACAAGAGTGTTCATAGCAGCAGTACTCACAATTGCCAAAAGATGGGATTATTCCAAATGTTCAGCAATGGACAGATTGTGGTATATATGATAGGGCTTTAAAAAGTTCATGGAAAAATAGAATTAAAAGATAAATGGGCAGACCAGCCTGGAGCGGCTAGAAAAACGAAGATACTTCTTTAAAGAAAGACCTACAGGAAAAATATAAAACAATAGAGGCAGACCAACTGTTACTACAAAAACAAGCAAGTTGCTTGCCCAGGAGACATCAAGGCAAGTGGTCGGGTCCCCTCAGTGTAAATCCCCTTCCAAGACTAAGATTCAATAGGAATACACACTCTGATTAGTGACCACGCTCGTCACCAATAAGGGGAAGTGAGGGAAAAACAGCAACAAAGCTGCAAGCTAAGCCCTACAATGTTCAATAGACTCCTGTGAACCTGGGTGGAGACCTGGTCGGCCAGCAGTGTGGCAAGACCTGGGGACTCTTGAGGCCAGAGTCAGTGACATAGCCACTGAGTGGAGAGTGAAGCGTCCAGCTGATAAGAAGAGAAGGCACATGCACAAGAACACCCACACTTGCAGATAATACCCACTTGACCTGGCTTCAATGACTGGATGATCAGAGCTCAACCAGAAGAAGAAAGGAAAAAAAGATTAATCTGATACAATTTGATGAACTTGACCTGCACCTATGGATGCAGCTGCTCAAAAGAGGCAACAAATCCTTACAGCAAGGATCATTCCCACCCCTTCCATACACAGAGTAGACAGGGATGGGCAACTTGGACACTAGCCACCCAAAATGGGGGTGCTACAAAGGCAAGAAGTGACTTACAGGTTTTCAAGAGGGAACCTAGATTCAGAGGGTGTGAAAGAAGGTAGAATCTCCACTGAGTAGTATCCAATCTGTCTAGGCAGGGCTGATGAAATGAAATGCGGATGGGTCTATAGTGAATAATTGTTATCAGGACTGCTGGTGAGGGTTGGAAACGTAAAGGTAGATGTTTTGTAGCAAGAAGGGGAGTGATTGACTTTTCAGTCTAGGAGCAGAGGTCCCTGGGACCATCAAGGGAGAAGAGTGGAGAGCGGGACACTACCCAGAGTAGCAGTGATGCCTGAGATGGAGGCAGAGACGATGACATGGAGAGATGGAGCAGTTGGGGACTTTAGACCCAGAGAGGGAGAGGGGCTGTGTGCTGACGACCGGGGGGCAGGCTTGTAGTGTATACTCTTTGGTTGGTTGATGATGCATGGAGGGGATTGTAACTATAGCAATGAAACGATATATGATAGGATGAATGTAAAACTAATGTGCTCCCATGTAAACTATCACATAATTCGCATTTTTTTAATAATAAAAAAAGATAAATGGAATTCAATAACAGCACAATATACCTTTTTTTTTTTTTTTTTGACGCACATGGAACATTCTCCAGAATAATAACGTTACACCACAAAGCAAGCCTCAATAAATTTTAAAACATCAAAATACTACAAAGCATCTTCTCAGATTACCAACCAATGCCATCTACTCAACTGATTCACAGTGACCCAATATCGGACAGAGTGGAATTATTCTCTAAAGCTTCCAAGGCTGTAAAGCTTTACAAATAGAGACAAGTTTAACTTTCTCCTACAGAGCTACCAGTGGGTTCAAACTGCTGATCTTGAAGCTAGTTAAAAGTGTAGTGCACTTGCCACTATACCACCAAGGTTCCTTCTCAGGTCACAATTCTACAAAATTAGAAATGAACAACAGGAATATCAAGGCAAAGCAAATACATAAAAATGTAATAGCATCCTGCTTAAAAACTACTTGTAGTCAAAGGGATCACAGAAACAGGCATGTAATCTTGCTGGAGACCACGTTAGTCTACTGGTGAGTGGAAGAGGGGGAAAGGTGTCAATGAAGACATGGGCTGAGTTCGACCATGTTCCATAGACTCCCATTGACCTGGAAATAAGAGAGAGAAGAGGAATGATGGTTGGTCCGAAGTGTTGTGAGACCTGAGGACTCGTACGCCCATGGACAAGGACCTAGCCACAGAGGGCTAGAACCAAGAGTGAAGCGTCCAGTTAATATAAACTGAGGAGATGCACAAGAACGCCCAAACTTGCAGATAGGAAAGAGCAACAAAAATTAGCCTACAGTTACCAAAAACAAAGAAAGATTAGAGCAGCAATTAATGAAACAAAAACAACAGAATCAACAAGACTGTATGTTGGCTGTTTGAAAAGATTATAAAACAAACCAGAAGCAAACCTAACAAAGGAAAAGGAGAAGATAACACAATAACACAAATAAGAAATTAAATGAGTGACATCACAACAGAACTGAAAAAGGATAATAACAGAGTAATATGAATAAACTGTACTCCGACAAATTTGAAAACTTAGAAGAAATTGGCTTTTTTTTTTTTTTTTTTGAAGACCTGTTAGGTATGTCAGGTGCTTATTGGTTTTCTCTTTAAAACTTTTTATTGTGAGCTGAATGAAGGTTTACAGAGCAAATCATCAATTTTACATTCAACAAATCACATACATTGCTTCATTACAATCATTTCAATCCCCTAACAGCTAACAGTATTTACTTCTCTTCAATTTAACTATCTCATTCCTCCCTATGTCTCCCACTACATTCATCTTTCCTCTTGTTGTATATTGCCTCCCATTACCCACACTAATATGTGTCTTGCTGAAAGTGAAGAGGACTTAAAACATTTACTGATGAAGATCAAAGAGCACAGCCTTCGGTATGGATTACATCTCAATGTAAAGAAAACAAAAATCCTCACCACTGGACCAATAAACAACATTCTTATCAACAGAGAAAAGATTGAAGTTGTCAAGGACTTCATTCTTCTTGGATCAACTATCAACACTCACGGAAGCAGTAGCCAAGAAATCAAACAACGTATTGCATTAGGCAAATCTGCTGCACAGGAACTTTTTTAAGTGTTGAAGAGCAAAGATGTCAGCTTAAGGAGCAGGGTGCACCTGACTCATGCCATGGTATTTTCAATAACCTCATATGCATGAGAAAGCTGGACAGTGAATAAGGAAGACCATAGAAGAACTGATGCTTTTGAGTTATGGTGTTGGAGGAGAATATTGAAAGTGCCATGGGCTGCCAAAAGAACAAACAAATCTGTGTTGGAAGAAGTGCAGCCAGAGTGCTCCTTGGAGGCCATGATGGCCAAACTTCGTCTCTCATACTTCAGACATTGTCAGGAGAGACTAGTCGCTGGAGAAGGCTATCATGTTTGGTAAGATGGAGGGTCAGAGAAAAAGAGAAAGACCCCCACCAAGAAGGATTGGTCAAGTGGCAACATCAATGGGCTCAAGCATGGCAACAGTAGTGAGGTTGGCTCAGGAACGGGCAGTGTTTTGTTCTCCTATGCATAAGGTTGCTATGCATCGGTACCAACTCGATAAGTCATCCATAAGTCTAGAGGCCTGGTGTGGCACTGTGGGTTAATGCACCAGACTGCAGCAGTTTGAACTGCAAAGTTTGCAGTTCAAGCTCACCAGCTGCTCCTCGGAAAACCTATACAGGATGGCTAAGGGTCGGAACCAACTGGACAGCACTTAACAACAACAATATCAATAAGTATAGGTTAAGTTCATCAAATTGTAGCAATTTACACTTGTTTCCTTTATCAAATGTCTTCATCTTCCTCTATTCTAGTTCTGATCATCAAGCCATCAAAGCTAGGTCAAATGGGTACTATCTGCAAGTTTGGGCATTCTTGTGTGTCTTCCATCACTTCATATCAGCTGGACATTTCACTCTCAGCTCTAGCCCTCTGTGGCTAGGTCCTTGTGCATGGGCTTAGGAGTCCTCAGCTCTCACCACACTTTGAACCAAGCAGCCCTTCCTGTTCTCTCTCTCATCTCCAGGTCTATGGGAGTCTATGGAATGTGGTCAAACTCAGCCATCTTCATTGCTGCCCTTTCCCATCTTCCACTCAGCAGTAGATCAACATGGTTGTCAGCGAGCTTACATGCCTGTTCGTATGTTCCCTTTGAGTTTCAGTCCTGAAGAGACTTGATTACTTGCACTGATGGCTCCTCATTGAACAACTTGCTTGCTCTTGTAGTAGCTGTTCAGACTGTCATTTTTGTTTTAGATTTTTCCTGCTGGTCTTTCTTACAAGAAGTATCTTCTGTTCCTCTAGCCGCTCCAGGCTGGTCTGCATGTCCTTTCAAGTGGGTATGTCCCACCTCTGAAGGTTCTGGATGGGGCTC